AAACTTTAGAAAAGTCAGTAAGTAAACTTTAATTTTGGAAAAAATTCGCTGCTTCAATTTTTTCACCAAAATTTTGAATCGGTAATTTCCACTTGAAGAAAAGCGGCAATAAGAAACAAGTAGTTGGAATTTACCCGAAACAAAAATATCGATAATTTTCGTCATCACTTTTTACGATTCTATTTGGAAGTAGCTTGTCATAAAATCATAATTCCACTCTTAAATTTACATAATGGAACATTTTCGAAGAAAAATTTAATAATTTTTGAGCACGTAGTTCAAATGTGAGTAAATATCCCACTTGTATGAGCAACATTAATTTCAATTTAGGTCAAAACTGGTACTAAATTGGTATAATAACGGACATGAACAACAGATTTATTCACTGACGCCAATGTTAATTTACAGATCAATAAACAGCAGTATGTTCTAATCAGTAGTAAAAAATGCATAAAAGCAAGTAACGAAACTTTTTGAATTCTTATCACAAAAAACGGAATTTTGTCACAATCAATGGATTAGATTATCATTTTATGATTTCGATGAGACTTTGCACTCCATTGTTCGAAAATAATATCAAATTCCCACTTTTTTGCCACTACACACGTAATTAATTATGTTAATACACAAGGTCGCCTCTTCATTTTCTGGAATTGCTGAGTAAAAACAAAGTAAATAACTTCGTTCTATTTCTAGATGTTTTACTTTTTTTTTTTTCTTCTCTAGTGTTGTAACCCTCGATTAAATACCTTGTTGGTGGTGTGGGAATCCCAGACGATGAGTTTACCGTCCTGAGAGGCCGATACCAGGTTACGACTGTCGGAACCCCAATGCATGGCGTAGATTTTTGCCAAGTGCCCCCGAAGGGTGCGTCTAGTTCGCATTTGCACCCTTCCGATGGGTTCAAGGCTGGCAGTTGCCTGGACCAGGGATGTGTCGCAAGCCGCTTTACGGGCATCCTAAAAAAACAATTATTTTCACTATTTGGCTACACACAAACGTCAAGATTTTCATCGAGACAAGGGAAATTTTGTTTTTCTCTTTAATTATTTAACGCATATTTAATTATCGCAGACATAACACAATGTTTTTTACTACAAAAAAAAACATAATTTCTTTCAATTTTTTCTGATTTCTATCTGGAAGTCACATGACCCAGAAAAAAAGAAATTATGAATCCTCTTTGCAATTTAGGGTTGTCAGGTCATTTTAAACTTACTTTACTGATTATTTTATCAAAGGAAGAGAAAAAAAATAAAGAATGGGATTTTTCACAAAAGAATCAATTCTTGATTAAAGCTCTACAACAGAAATTATTTTTGTGTGGATTTTAATAGTACCACCTGACAAACTTTATATTTTAGAAATTTTTCCTTATTTGTTATTATTATTCATCAACGCTATTTATTTATACATCAAAAAATAAACAGTTTAAACAAAAAAACCTTTGATTCCATACTTCCTTCTAAAAAAAAGTAAGCAAAATTTTAATTTTGGAAAAAGAACACGATTAACGAAATTTCTATGACCAAAAATAAACAAAATTCACCACAATTTTGACTTTTGACTAAAGCTCTAGAAAAGAAATTATTTTTGTGAGGATTTTAATAGTATCGATATTTTTGATAAAATAAACCTCTAGTAACCGACAGGAAAGAATAAAAAAGTAAAATAAATGAAAACCTTCTGAAACTGTCACAATATGACATCTTTTATTAATTCTTATTAAACAATTTGTCCAACATTTAAAAGAAAAAACTTTTCTGACAATTAACAAAAAATTCTTAAGTAATTCGTAAGCTGACAAAACAAAAAAAAATTAACAGTTTAAACAAAAAACCTTTGAATCCATACTTTCTTCTAAAAAAACTTTCAAAAAGTCAGTATAAAAATTTAATTTTGGAAAAAAACACGATTAACGAAATTTCTATACCAAAAATAAACAAAACTCGCCAAAATTTTGACTTTTGATTAAAGCTCGAGAACAGAAATTATTTTTGTGA